TAGTCACGTCAAAATCTCTATTTTGAGTAATTTAAGTGTCATTAATTAAACCAGGAGCCAATCAAATAATACATTGTGATATTACAAAATTTTTGTTATGTTTTTCTTAGAATTGAATCTTCTTAGCAAATGTTCAGAATTTTGAAAAAGCAGTTTTAGCACGTGGCAAAACCCAAATAGCTGAAACTAGTTTGAAACTTTGCTGAAATAAATCCCAAACTATAATGATATAACAATACTACATTACAATAATAGGAGTTTAATTTTTCATAACGAATAACTATTAAAATTAACAAGCGTTAATTTCTATTATTAAAAAGCATCAATTTTTTATATTTATATTTTTTAATATTTGCAGCATTACATATTTTTATACAATACGCCAATTATATTATTGCTCTGTAGCTTCTAAAGCTTCTATTACAATATCGTCTAATAATTCAAAAAAACAACACAATTTATTTATTGCTGTGTTAGCATAAACCGAGTTCGTTTTCTGCTAAGCTTAACAAAAAACGAATTTATAATAATAATAATCAAAAAAGAATTAATAAATAATCAAAAAATCAAAAATACTCATTATATTTTTTAAGAACATTATTAAAAGAATCGTTATATTAATTAAAAAATGACATTGCATTTATTAAAGTATCGTTATATTAATTAGAAGCGTCATTATATTTTTAAAAGCATTATTATTTATTAACAGTTAAAATAATCGTTATATGGAGTGTCAATTATAAATGAAAGTCGATTTGCATAATGAAAAATAGAGAGATAATGTAGAAGAAAAATTTTACGAGGCCAAGCACATCACGAGATTACCCGATAATCGCCTGTTACTTTTAACCAATCAAAATCGTGAAATTTGGTTAATCCGGATCAGTCCGATCATAGCAAAAATTCCATGAATTTTTATTGATTCAATCAAAATTGTTTTTCTTTATTTTTTTTTACGTTTTCTGTTAAAAAACCATCCCGTATAGAAATTTTCGATATTTCATTACGGCATGAATGAATTTTATGAATACTTCGAACGAAAGGCCTCAAAATGGGACATTATAGAATTTTTAGAGCAATGTGACCTTGAGCCATGCGGCAAAAAAGTAGATCGATATATTAGGTGCCTCAGTTTTATTGCTCGTGGTGAGCAAAAAAAAAAGAAAAGAAGAGGCAGAAGAGCTTCTCAGAAGATACAATGAAGCAAGTAAAATTTTTTTTTGTCAAATATGCAAGTGAAAAATAGTGGCGTGACAAGGACCCAAGACCCACTCGGTGCTTGATCATTCAAGGCCATTCGCATTTTTCGCGACCGCCGAGCCACAAAATCAGTGCTGAAGCACAGTTGATAACTCACTCGGTAGTCTGATGTTCAAGGCCATTTGCTTACCCAGCAACCGCTGATCCAGCACTGATCCTACTAGGGCACGGGTAACCCTTCAATCGGTTATCTGATGTTCAAAACTACTCGCTGATCTAGCGATCGTTGACCTTGTAGGATGGAAATCGGGTGGAAACAGGATATGTTAGTTAAGAATATTACTAATTTAAATCTTGTTTGTAAAAGGAAAATAAACCTGACAAACAACGCGTCAAGTACTGAGAAAAAACACGTAAATCAAGTAAAATAAGCGGTGGATTCACATCCACAATTCAACAAAAGAACAATTACCAATAATAATTTCAATAACGGTATTTAGTACACTTTTAATTGGTGCTCTGTTGCTCGCTTTTATTCGATCCAGACATAAACGACAACGCCAAAATGCGCTTGCTACAGCGATTATAGCTGCTGAAGCTGCTCTCGATGATAATGGCGTTCGAGTTGGTGACATATCAAACATACAGGCTTCTCCATCACCATCACCGCCGCTTCCACCTCCAACACCTCCATCCACTCCAACTCCTACAGAACCTTCTACCGTAGTCATTAATCAGCCAAGATCTCCTCCACGATATAAAATATCTACTCTTCAAATAGAACCA